GGGTTTGATGGTTTTTTGTTTTATGTTGGGTTTTTCCTTCGCTTATCGAACACGCTTAGAGTCATTTGCCCGCTTTTCTCCTTGGTGTCAGCCTAACAAATAATTTTGGATTTAATGGTTTTCAGATTTATGTTTGAGTTTTATGGTCACCTTTTTTATTAATTCGACCCTGTTAAAGCCAACGTGTCACTATTTAACCTAATTTTACCTTTTTATTTTTTTTCCCGTCGCTTATCGATCGTGCTTATAATCGTTTACCCATTTTTCTCTATGGTGTCGGCCTTGCAAATGATTTTGGGATTTATGGTTTTGTGTTATGGTCGCCCTTTTTAAAAATTCGACTCGGTTAAAGTAAGAGTGTCTTATTGATTAATATCTTTTACTTGCCCCAATTATCTTTTTTATGTATATTTTCCTTTCACTTATCAATTGCGCTTCAACTTGTTTACCCATTTTTCTCTGTGGTGTCGGACTTGCAAATGATTTGGGTTTATGGTGGGGTTTATGGTCACCCATTGGGTTTTATGTCGTTTTTCTCCATGATCTTTTTATTATTTTTTTCTTTAGCTTATTGATCGTGCTTAGAGTCGTTTACGAGTTTTTCTCCATGGTTTCGGGCTTGCAAATGATTTTGGGTTTTATATTTTTGAGTGTTATGTAGGGTTCTATGGTCACTCTTTTTATTAATTCAACTCGGTTAAACTCAAAGTACCGCTATTTTATCTAATTCGACCTAAATTTACCTAAATGATTAATACCTTTTTCGGGTAAAATACCTCGGGTACCACTTAAGTTTGAGAATTGGTGTAGACATACCACTTAAGTTTGAATAGGGCGTCGGTTACCATTAAAGTCGTCAAAATGTGCATCCGTCTACTTTTCCATCCAACCCAAAATTTCAATTACTTTTTGATAACCAAAAATTTTAAAAACATCCATAACTATATTTCAACAAGTTTTATCTAATATAATAATTAGAAAACCTTCTAAACATATTATTACTAGAATGATTAATCAAATTTTTTTAGTAAAATAGATAAACTAGTAAAAATAGTAAATAAATATCAAGAAGAATAATAAATATTTAAATTAATATTATAATATCCATTTAAACCCCTAATTCAATTAGAAGCACCATTAGAAATAATTAAAATAGAACCTAATCGATTATCAATACATCAAAATCAAAGAAGGATAACTGGAACACAATAAGAAAGAATTAAGCATATTCCACTAATTGAAAAAATTTAGAACGAAAAAGAAATGGAAAGTAACCAAGTAATAAATAAAATATAAAAGCTACGACATTCGGTAAAAAATATAGAAAAGAAATATGACTATAAAAGCTGCAACATTGTTTAGTTACGACATGCATGGAAGAATTAAATTATTAGAACACATAATGGTCATTGAAAATAATTATAATGATAATTGATTCTAAATTTTCTATTCAAAAATTGGTTTGGTATCAAGTATTCAAAAGAGAATTCTAACTAACTAATAAAAAATGATGTTTTTCATAAGTCCAAATGATTTTTTTACAATAAAAAAGTAGAAGGACCAATTATGAAATTTAGAAAACAGAATATTCCAAGAATATTCTCTCAATTTTAACGGAATGCACTTATGAGTAAACTTAAGTGGTATCGGGTGCACATATAATAGAGTTCAGTGGTACCCGACGCCCTATTCAAACTTAAGTGGTATGACGATCCCAATTCTCAAACATAAGTGGCACCCGAGGTATTTTACCCTACCTTTTTCTAGGCTTTGTTGTGTTACCCATAAGCGCTGAATTTAGCTTTATATTGGAATACATATGTGCTTAATTGAAATTTTCATGATGCATCTCTCACCTACGTTTATTCCCGTCCACTCATATTCATCTTTTTCTGTACTTACCCACCCACCCACCCACCCACCAGGAGGTAAAGAAACACTACTAAAAGCAGTCTTCCAACCATTACCATCTTTCATAATGTGCCTCTTCCTCCTCCCACGCTCCATCACCAATAAAATGGATTCCATGCTCAAGAACTTCTTCTGGGAGGAAACATGGCAAAAAGATCTATTCACTGGCGAGCTGGGCACGTTCTATATGCTCCCAAGGAGGAAGGGGGCTTAGGGTTCAGACCCTTCCACATCTTCAATATGGCCCTGCTAGCAAAACAAGCATGGAGAATTCTCAATAACCCTGAATCACTGTGGGTGAAGGTCTTAAAAAGCATCTATTTCCGTAGAGGGGATTTCCTTTCAGCTAAGAAGGGAAGCAAAGCATCCTAGATATGGGCAAGTATTTGGGAAGCAAAAAATTGGATGGAACAGGGAGTGATCAGGGTCATTGGTAATGGGGAGACAACGAAGATGTTTCAGGATCCGTGGCGTTTTGATCGATCAAGCCCTCTCATCTTTAGCAGAGTCACAGACTCATCCTCGGCTGACTTCTACATTGATGCTATTACTAGAGAATGTAAGTTTGATCTTCTGGAGCAATTTCTGGATCCACAGGAGATCCTCCTCACGACTGCCACACCCATTGGACCCACTTCCATGAATGATTCCTGGGCATGGAGATTCTCGGAGCAAGGTTCTTTCTCGGTTAGGTCAGCGTTTCACCTTTTCCATAACCAAACTCGTGGTCCCCAAGGAAATGTGAACCCTTTCCCAGAAGCGGCCAAGGAAAAATGGAAATGGCTGTGGAGCTTGTCTCTCCCTCCGAAATTGAAATTCTTCATATGGAGATGTGCTAAGAATGCGTTGGCATCGAAGGAGAACCTTTTCGCAAGGAAATGCTCCACTTCCAAAGCATGCCCTCTGTGCAACTTACCAACCGAATCTCTTCACCACTGCCTTTTCCTCTGCCCCCATGCTGCGACAGGATGGAATCGGGAATTGTTAGATCTGTTTAGCCCACCCCCACTCACGAACATCCTGGAATGGCTTGCCTCCTTACAAACAAGGTTCTCAGCCAGCACCATTCAACGTGTGATCTTCCTTATGTGGCAGACCTGGAAGACCGGGAATGATCGGATCTTCTCAGGGATTCTACCATGGCCCCCTATCACCACCTCCTGAGCACATATTACTCACCATCAATGGAACACCTGCCCTAGAAAGACAGGTGCTCTGCCACCCCAAGCTCAGCACATCCCACCCCCTGATCTCTCCTCACCACCGCCGAGTACTCATGACTTTGAGGTACACTGTGACGGATCCTACTTTAGCGATTCTCAGGAGGCGGCATATGGCGTCGTTGTTACGAATAGCCATGGGCAGGTTTGTGATGGGAGAGCTGAGTCCCTGCATTGTTTTTCCCCACTTGAAGCAGAAGCGAAGGCCCTTTGGGAGGGAGCACGCTTGGCGGTGGCGCTTTCAGCATCATGCCTGATCCTGACTGACTGCCTATCCCTCACTAAAGCTCTCTCGAATCCAATGGATTTTTGGCTATGGCGGGCAGCAGGGTGGATCAACCGCATCAAGAATCTCTCAATCAACCACCCAGACATCAGGTTTGACTTCATCAGCAGAAAAAGAAATTCCAAAGCGAATTGGGTGGCTCGATCCTGTGCAAAGAGACAATTACCTAATGAATGGATTCATGTACTAGATGTTGTTGCTCCTCTCTTGTAACCTTTGACTTCTGCCACAAGTAATGGAATTTTCTGTGCGATTTGTAAAAAAAAAAAAACCACTCCATCTCCATCTCTCCATTTTCCTCATCTGAAGAAGAATAAGCAGGAAGAAGAAGAAGAAAATTGAGGAGAGGAAGCAGGAAATTATACCACTCACCTCGATCATGCTCTCCTCGTCTGTGTTAATCTCATTTGTCTAATGAGAGTTTCATGACCATTATCCACGCTGTCACTGTTTTGTGTCAATCTCATTTGTCTGCCTTCGTAACCTGAAATCATGTTTGTCATTGACTCTTTGTCTTGGTGGTTGATGGTGTGTTTGTTGTATTTTAGGCACCCAAAACACTGCCGCTATATTATCGAAGAGGGACCGGGGTGTTGAACAAGTTGATTCCTTCATCATCATCATCCCCATGACAGTCTTTTATGAACGTGGGTGCTCTAACTCCAGCTGGTAAGGAAGACTGAATCATGTTCTTTTAAGTTATGAAACATTCAATAATGTTCCTTTCTTACTATTGGTGATCCTGTACGAGTGAAATAAACTCTGCATTTGATCGAGTTTTCCACAAGGATGCAGGCCAGATGATTGGAACAACATAAATCTGGGAAGAGGAACAAAAAACCGCCGGTTTGTCCAGCCTTGGATTTACTCTACTCAAACTTTCCTTTCGTTTTTTTCCTGCTGGTGTTAGTGTCAGGTAATTTCCCATGTCGATCAGTTTGATTGCTAAGGATCCCTGCTTTCATTATCAAGTTCAGAAGTTCCACTATGCACTCTTTACGTTGGGTTTTAATTAGTCTTCTTTTTCATTTGGAAACCTTTCTATAAAAGCTCGAGCTTTTTTTCTTGAAGAAAGAAAAATGTGCCAGTAATGAAATGAAGATGATAGTTGTTTTTATATATGGAACTACTAAATGGATTTTTCATTTTTTTGGTTTTGTGGAACCACCAAACCAACTTCAATGTTGGGATTGTTGACTTCAATATATGCTTAATTTTAACATATGTGTTTGAGAAAGAATCATGGGAAACCAATTTCTGTCGTTTCAATGCAATTTTAGTTTAACTTCGTGGGTTTGAGAAAGCATCATCACATCCTAAATTCTGCAATTTCTACGTTGTGACCATCATAGTGTTGCTATGCCAACCAGATCCCTGCATCAGTTGAATAAGATAATATAATTGTTGTTTGGAAATAGGAACTTAATAAAAGGAATTTTGTCGTCTTTGAACTGAACAAGAAGAGAGGCAATATATAAAGGCTGCAATTGTTAAAAAAAAAATAATAATAATAATATAAAGGCTGCAATGATTCAGGTAAACTTTGAGAGTCCAAATTTCTTGATGCCGGTTGATTTAATTATGAAAAATCAGCACTTTCATTATGCACTATGAACATTTGTCCTTGAAGCTGGATATGAGTTTTGGATATTTCCTTGCTTGATTTTTATATAGAGTATAATCATATAGTACTGTTCATCATCAAGTAGCTTTCCACCGGTGAATGTCTTTTATCAGCTAAAGTTAACCGATTTCACTATGACTTGGTTTCGTCCATTTTCTTGACGAGTTCAATGGGATTGGGTCAGTGTGTGCATTAATTGCTAGCTGAGATAATCTGTAAAGACAAAACTCAGACATTATGTAAGGATAAACGGGTTAGGCTGTTGATATATTTGTTATATGTCCCATGGTAAACATAACTATGATTTCATAATTTTGGTCGGGATAGTCTGTAAGTAGAAATGTGTTCTCTACAAGTTAGAAGGCATCATTAGTTAGAAGTTGTATATACTGTTTGTCTACAACGTCTGTGGTTTGACAGAAGTTGGTCAGCAACTTCAATCTACATTGTACTGTTCTATTTCTAAGCACCATGATCGCTCAGGTTATGTTGCTTGCCACTTCCACTATCAATTCAAAGTTCTTTACCAACAAGTTGTAATAAAAGAGAGAATTAGCATGCACATATCATACTTACTTGCCTCAGAAACTTGCTTTTGTGGTTTTGTTTGTTAATTGATTTTCTCAACTATAATATTTGCATTTTACAGGTTGGGAACAAGCTATAGAAGATCATATTGCATGGGTACACTATGAGTCATTCAATGGTCGTATTTCTTTATCTTTGTAATAGTTTGAGAAAGCAATGTAAAGCCTCGGTGCGAAGCGCAGCATTTCGTTCTAATTAAATAGCTAAATAATGTGAATAAGTTGCTTTCGAAATATAGCCACATGTATGAAATATGACCTTGAGAAAAGTATTTATAAAACTATTATGATATTCTAGCAGAGACTCGAAGACGATAGTGCAATGGTAAGCATAGTAATATTTGGGTGGTTTGATTTGAAGTATGAATTTGGCATATATCATGTTAGCATCTAATCAGATTGTTTAATAATTTAAATTGAGTGAAATTAAATTATATATATGTAAAAATTATATTATAAGGGTTGTTTGAATATTACAATGTAAAAATTTATGGATGTTGTTATTGCAAAAAATATGTGTGTGTTGATAAAATTAAAAAGTGATGATCTTCCCCATTATTTCCTATTGAGGAGAGATTTAAAATCAATGATGAAATCTGAAAGACAGATATTTCAAGAAAAATTGTCCAATTGGGTACTTGCAAATGTTGACATTCCATTAGGCCAAAGATTTGAGCATTATAGTGGACCGCATCACATGTTCCTGTAAACTTTTAAACCACAATTTTCCACATAAATTTGAGTACCTAAACAAGTGCTTTTACTCATACATTCACACCTAATAGCAAACCAGTACACTGACTGACGAATGAATGAACATGTAAATGTTAAAAAAGACTTTTACTTGGGTGGCGCTGAAGTGACTCAGAAGTAAGGAATGCACAATTGAAACCTTGAATCCAAACTATCTATTTTATTATTTCCACTAACACTCTTGAAGAGAAAGAGCAAAGTAAGTAAGAACAGTGATTTTGCCTTGTGTTTTTGTTTGTTCCATGCCATCACATATCCACATACCATTACAAATTGACCAAAGGGTCAATCGGATGTAGTAATAATAGTTCAGCAAAGAAAATGAAAGAGAACAAGAGGAAGAGAGTATAGTTCTCTTCCCAAAGGCAACTTCAGTTGCTGATCATGTCAATTTGTTACTCCCCCCAACTTCAGTTGCAGGTTTCATCCTCAAGTGAATCTCAGTCAAACCAAATCAACTCACCCCCTTTCTTCTACGTGAGTAGCAGGAAGTTAGCAGGTTGAGTTCTTGTAGCAAATCCAAACTTCGAAGTACTGTACTTTCTGTGGACACCAGTTAGCCTCCCTGTCCCAGAATTCTGATGAAATCCCACAATCAGCCTTGAGCATTCCCTGTAAAACCCGGAGAGGGTAAAGAACCATCATCCAACAATTCATGATTTTCAAGAATGATTGAAAGAATAAATCTTTTCTTTTTCTTTTTGAAGGGGACTTACAGAAGTTGCTCTTCTGAGTAGCTGGTGTACCACTCATGAGTTTTGTTCCACTGGCTAGAGCCATTGAGGCAGCACTGTGCCGTGTAGATTGCAGCAGCAGACATCAGTGAAGGTGGGTATTTAAGCATTTCATACTCCACTAAGCACAGCTCGATCAGGAAGAATGATAGAAGCTCAAGCTGTCACATTAGGAAATGCCATAAGTAATCAGTCAGATTTCACTAAATCTGGCCTCAAAGTTTGAATCTGGGTTTTCAAGTTCACAAACCTTTTTGTCAGATTGAGCAGCTTTGAGAAATCTCTTCATGAAAACATATGGAGTTGGGACTGACATATTGAACTGCAAGGCGTTCACAATTAACTTCTCCTGCAGGAGACAGATTAAGGCACAAAACTCTCATTAGATTGATGATCAAGTTTCAATCTTAAACTGAATTGCTTGTATTCTAAATTTACCATGTCAAGGACTTCTTTTCTACTGTAAGCCTTGTCAGAAATTAGGATGAGATCATCCACAACAGGCACCGAGACTTCTTCATATTTGCAAGCAAGAAGCATGGCTGTAACTCCAACCAGCTGGAGTTTCTTCCTCACAACAGAATGAACAGCCAAGAATCTGTCAATGAGATTCACAGTAAGATAAAGAGTCTCCTCCATCAACTCAAACTTGTAGTGCACCTGTAGTCATCAGACAGTCAAATCTAGTCAGTTTGATCCATCCATTCAAAGTGAAGGTAAGAATATGTCATCTTCCAATATGCGTAACCAAATTACCTCAATCAACCAGTCGATGAGAATGCCTCTCATCCTTTCATTGATATCAAATTGGTTTGCCATATAGTGCGGTGAGACAGCACTTGTAACCTCAGATTTCCTGTAGAATGTGTACAAATCGTTGATGTATTCAGTCACAGCAAGTGGGTTGTTCTTGTCACAAGCATCTATATCTACAACTGAGTCTTGTCCTTCTTCTTCTTCAGAAGCTACATCCTCCATTTCCACTTCCTGCCAGAAATCAACCAAATCGACATTAAGAGATGATGAATAAAAACCTTTCCTCAAACGAAACAATTGATGAAAGACCTCTCAAACTGTTTACCATTCTGTCAATCTCTTCCAGCATTGCTTCAGTGTGTTGTACAAACATTGGTTCAGAGAATGCGAAGTCTTCTTCTTCTGCATCAGTGATGGAGATGTCTTGTGATTCATGTTTCAGTTCCTGTTCACACAACATTTGTTTTGGATTTACAAACACTTCAGTGAAATCATTCATCATACAGAAAACTTGACATAACTAATTCTTTACCACTTGTGGCTTAGAATCTTGCTTGGTGGCTAGTTGTGCAGCAAATCTCCTGAAAAAGAACGGGGCAAAAGACCCACAGTAAACACTATTATTATACAATCAAAAGAACCCTTGAAAGCAGAAGAACTCCAAATTTGAACCAGGCAAAAAACTAGGGATTTGGTTGCTGTACTGACCTAGTGATAGGACGATGGACAGGTTGATTCTTGTTATCACATTGCTTACTATAGGGAAAAGAAAGGCAATTCAGGCAACTACGTAAAGATTCCCAACTGATTACGGTGATTAGAAGTATCACTCTTTAACTTAGAGAACTAATTGAACTTACATAGGTGGGTAAGTCGGAGCTCCGATTATATTCCGATTGAGGGCACTCAACGCCCGACGATTCCCTCCTGCGGCGGCCACCGCCGGCAATTTCCCGACTCCGGCGCGAAGACCCACTAGAAATAAAGAAGTCAAATAAATCCATAGTCAAACCCCCCAATTGGAAAATTTCGTATTGGAGTCGAAACAGGTTTGGATTCCGTCGGTTTATACCTTGCATAGTAGGGGCAGGTCCAATCACACCCTGGTTATTGTTCTCGTCTGATCCAGCCATTATCGATTCTCTATTTCAAAAGAAAAGGAAGAACACAAAGGAATCAGAAAACCTCCCTACTATTTCAGTAGGAACCATCGATTCAAAAAAAAAAAAAAAAAAAAAAAAATCAAAGAACACCCACAAAGAATCAAGACCATACAAACAAAACCCACCTCTCAAATTCAACAGAATCCTTCTCAGATTTCCGATCAAAGAACTGCACTTCTGAAAGTTCCACCCTTTGAGATCCCTCCAATTCGGTTAATGGAATCGAAGAAATTCAGGAAGAGGAGAGAAGAGAGGGCTTTCTCTCACAACTCCGTCACATCAAATACGCCCCTTCTCTCTCTATCTCTCACTGTGGGTTCTCGATCTGTGTTTTTCTGGGTAGCAGATGAAATGAATACGAAGGGTAGAGAGAATCGAAAGGGACGAGAAAACTCATAAAGAAAGAAGGATTTTAACAGGAGTCAGACAGCGGATATATTGTCCAGAAAGAGAGCCTTCGCAAATTTTTTTTTTCTTTTTCAAAAGCAACGGCTAGTTCCTCGCGGCCGTCCGATCTCTTTCTCTCTGGGAGATTGAATTGAAAGTCGGGTACTACTCGCGTCTTCTGCTGGTGTGCGGCTCAACGGCTACCTGACATGTGCTAGCTCCTTGCCTTTTTTTCTTTTAGCCCTTTTGGTTTTGAGAGGATTAATAAGGAAATACAACAAAATTTAGCCTAAAATTATACCTCCATGCCAAGGCTCCATTCTTTGGATTCAATTTTTTTCTTCCATTGGGTTTAATACCAAGTATGGAGGATAAAAGAAAATTGATATGTGTTATCTTGTGTTTAGTTAATATTTACTCAATACACTTCTTATTCGATATGACAAACATTTATCGTACTTGATGAGATACATTTAAAGAAATATTAATTTGATGAGATAGGGACCTTCTCGGTAATGATAGCCTCATTTATCGTACTTGTATCAATTGTATTAGCAAGACTTTGTCGTTTCAAATGTTTTTGTTCTTTTCTATATCCAAATAAGTCTGTACCTCTCTTTATTCTTTTCCTATGATACAATTGATCGTTCCACGTTCTCTCATCATTCTTCTGCCTCTTCACTCTCTTAACACCTCCTTGCCTAGAATTTCTAAACAATGGGTAATGGGTCGTGGATTTGAAATGAGACCGAGAGTGCTACCTAGAGATAACCACCTAACATTCTCACCTTGTCAACACTAATTATGAATGACAATATCACCGTGATATGCTCCAGCTGACCTAACTCGACTGGTCCTTTGTTGAGCCTGCTTAACTCAATCTTGTTTTATCTCGACCAGCTCTATCTCGAATTCTCACTAAAAATTCGCATACGATTATATAGTTAGAAACTTAGAATTAAGTAAAACCGTCACTTCAAATAATTTTCCGTTTTCAAATCATGTCATTTTCTCTTTTTTATTTATTTATTCGAAAGGTGTTTTTTTTTTGGGTCAAATCCACATTTTCTTCAAATCACATATTATAAAAGGCTCAACGATGCCTTAACAAAATACATAGTGTGTACTCCAGACAAGGCAGATATGAGATCGGTGGTTCATATCCCTTGCCACTCGATTATCATTCATAATAATCGCAATAAGATTATAAGTACAGTTCGATCTTAATTACTTTTTTATTTAATCTAACATATATCATTGGTTTATATTTATCCAATCTCAATCGAATTACATTAGCTATTATGACTATAAAAGCAGCTCATCACAATATCTTACTATAGAATCGCCCATCGAATTCCTTGTTTAACTTTTAAATTAGTTATGGAATTCATACACAAACAAATTAGTTTAGGAAATCACAATTATATTGGAAGCCTGTACCTAGAGAAATGAATATTCCTAATAAACTGGTGATTATGGATTAGCTATATTAGTCATTGCACATGAATATCCTTTAAACTATTTCCTACATACTTTAGTTTCCTTTTATTAATTAAGCTCCTATCCCTTGTTAAGTACTAACTAGTAACTAGAGACTAGGATTAGTGTTTTGGATTCAATTGTTAGTGGATATAGAATAGCACAACTATTTCTTTATTCGTTGCTAATGGAAAGAATATGGGGAGCGTGTTGCCGTGCCGTTAGAGCTTGGTTTGGTTGAATCTTGTTGTTGCCCGTAATGGTTTCAAAAAATAGTCCAAGCAATAGTTTGCTGCCACGTGGGGAAAATGGGTTGTCATTTGAGGTGTGAATCGACTAGTTAGTACGAATTGGAGAGATATAATTCATTTTCGAAAGAGAAATTGACATTGTGGAATTGCAACTTAACAACTTGTATGAGTATAAATACACTGCATTAATACCTCTATTCTGGATATGATATGAGAAAAGAGAAGTGATTGTCGTTAATTAAACAACTTGGTCTTTTTCTTGATTGAGCAAATGTAGGATAACAAAAATAAATAGTGGGATTAGAAGTTAAAGTCCAAATAATGCGTAAACCATTAAGGCAATGCGTCGGTAAGATGCGTTCGGACATGGGTCTTTGCGATCATACCAAACAATTAGGTTAACTCTCTTCATTTTTTACAAGTTAATGTATGTGATTATTATAGCCCCGATGGAAGTCAAAACTCGAACAATGTCTATATTAGCACTTTACAAATCAATTCAACAACATGCGGTCGCACAAGGATCGTCTCATCATCATCATACTAGACAATGAAACAATCAACTCATCCGGATCAATTTTTTTAACAAAATTAAGTTTTCAATAAGGGTCTTTACTTCCGTCATTGTTCAATTATTTTTAAGATTAACATAAAATGTCATCGATTCTATATCTCATCAAATATTAAACACTAAACTAAATCGAAAAGGCAAATTGAAATGACTTAGTATAAGAAAATGGATCAAATAAGAGTTCACGAAAATAATAAATAAACCATTGAATCTCCGAGTGAATTAGCTGTATCAACCAAGTGAATCAATCGCCTCACTTTTCAACGTTGTTTTCACTTTTTGTTTGTTACCGTTTTGGTTGAGATGGCAACTATGAAAATTGAAAAGGACAGGACTCGGCACGAACTGCAACAGTCTTCAATTATTTGTTAAACCGACACCGACAGGACTGGGGAAAATTGCAGGCGGAATAACTATCTTTGACTAAACAACAAGCAATTCACTAATTAATTAATTTACGCCTAGCTATCGATTAATTAATTCTTTATGTTTTCGACGTATATGAAAATGAAAGAATAGCAGAAAAACAGAACCAGCTAGAATGGTTTGGATTTGGTTAGAAATTTGCAGTAAAACAGGGAAACAGACGAACACTTTGCTCTGCTATCCTAGAGAATCAGAACCATAGTCATATTTGAAAATTTTAAGCACAATGATTTTTTTATTTTTATTTTTATTAAATGGAGGCTAGAAAAACAGCCAGGGTAAACAAGGCAAAGTAACTAGGCTAAAAACAAAATGCTAAAAGCCCTGCCATAGACACGGAAGAACAAGCTTAATTATTCCTATCTTGCTGCATTTGACGAGGGAAGCTAATTATGAGAGGAGCTCTAATTGTCATTAAACAAACCTTAAAAAAAAAATTATGAGAGGAGCTCTCTCCTCTCTCCTAGCTCTGTCAATGTGGCTAGGGGATCGTCTTCTTCATCTCCTCTATGTGTGCTTCGCCATCAGTCTGGAGAATCAGGAGGACTTATGGAGTCAATCCATGCTTGGGGCAGAGGGCGGTGGTCGAAATGGCCCTGCCAGTAGCAAGTTAGGGGCGGTACGACCCATGAAAGGCGAGGAAGCGCTGGGTCGGTCTCGAGCTGGGTTTTCACCTCGAGAAACTGCCAATGATGCTGAGGATCATTTCCTCACGGAGACAGGGCTGCGCGCAGCTAGGATTCTGCCAAAACGCAAGAGCTACCACCTGAGGGAGGAATTGGAAATCCCTCTGGGCAAAAGGGTGAAAAAACCCAGAAATCGTTCGTCGAGGGGCTGGATTTTCTGGCTTCCCTCTCCTGCCGAAATGGAAGGCGATGAATTGCTGTTAACCATGGAGGGAGTGAAAAAAGTTAATTATGTTTCAGCGTGCTCAGAAACGGCTGCAATCAATCAGCTGGAGCAGTTTATCGTAAATGGCCCGTGGAAGAGGATGATCCCCCGACCGCCGGTGGAAACCTGGTCGGCGAGGACGGAGGGGCGAGGGTGGACCAGTGGCGCGGCCGGTGGTTTCCTGTTCCCGGATCCGCGGTGGGTCGGATACCATCCCCGGGGAAGTCGGATTGCGCGTACCCGGGCTGTTAGCAATCGGAAAAATCCCGCAATCTTTGGGTGGTTGGGTTACAACGGGTTTGGCCGGAATAGGATTCTTTCGAATCTCTTGGCAGGCAGAACTCCTAATTCAACTCTAACTCAATTTGGTGAAAGGAGATCTGTGAGTCTCCTAGCCATAAAAGTGAACCCGATGGTTCAGTTCCCAGCACGTCCCATTTCCCAGCAACTAAGTGAAAGTGGCAGCAAGGCAGAGCAGTCGAGTGTGCAAACTGAGACGCTGACCTTGTGTTCCGGTATTGGAATGGAGAGTGCTGGGCCTATGTTTGATATTCCTTATCTCATTCCCCCCGTTCATTCACCTGTTACGCGGCCTATTCCACTGGATCTCTTGAAGGTCCAGCCATGGATAGAGGAGTCGCCAGGGTGTGGTATTTATGCTAATGATTTGCTTCTTAATCATCCCTCTGTCTGCCAGGTGAAAATGATGGCTCATGTGTCTGAGGATCAAGTGGTTCAATTCTCGTTGGGGGAGGTACAATCGACCAAAGTACGTGCATCTCGGACACTCCTTGGCAGACTGTTTTCCAGTGACCAGTTCACCAATGCGGAGATTAGGGATGCTTTGGTGGCGGCTTGGCAGATCAAGGGACACCTGAAAGTCTCCAGGACTAGGATGGATTTGCTTGAGATCATGTTGCCGAATGAAGAAGCAAAGAAATGGGCACTCTCACGCAACCCATGGGTGATCAAAGACCGGCTGCTCACCTTGCGACCATGGGTACCTGTCATCACCAAGGCTATCTACGAGGATATGGCAATCGCCCCATTTCGTGTTCAGTTATGGGGGGTGAATGATGACTGCTGTACCAGGAATTTTGGACGGAAAATGGTCTCCGCAACTATTGGGCAGGTTCAGGAAGTGGGCGTCTTTTCCTGTAAAGACTCTGGCGAGCGTTTTATCAAAGTTCGAACCATCATTGACTTTGCCAAACCTCTTCGATCGCAGCTTATGGCGCTAAGTGAGGACATGGATGGGTTTTGGGTTAGCCTGAAATACGAATTCCTACCGAGCTTTTGCTACCACTGCGGCAGAGTGGGTCACCCTCGGCGGGAATGTGCCTTTGACCCACCGCGCAGGAAAGAGCGCTTCGGACCCCATATGGCGACTAAGAAGGTGGGCCGCAAAATCTATGATGAGGATGGTGAGGATCAGCAGTTCAGGGGAGGGAGAAATCCGGTGTGGGTGAACCGCCAGGAGCAGGGCTCGAAGTAGGGGGGAAGAATGGGGCGGAATCGGCTGCCCAGGAAGCTTTGGCTGTCGGGGGAATTAGGGCCGCCAAACGGGAGACTGTGGGCAGAAGCTCTGCTCAGGGAATCCCCGAGATTTCCAGGGCTATTCCATGTGGTTCCCTTGATGAGAAATAGCCACCGATGCACAGGCTTAGCCCTCGTGGTTTTGTAGTCCAGAAACCTCCTAAGCTTCAGTTTGGGAAGGGCAAGCGGACACTGAAGGGGTCGACAGTCGCCAGGGCACGGGCTGCTTCTCCACAGCAGATGGGGGATCGTGCTTCCGTCACCCCTGACCGTGTGCGATCGGCGGCGACTCAGGCGGTGGTAGGTGTTCCCAGCCCGGCATCTCAATTGGAGGATGACATTCCCTTGGAGGAGATGCAAATCCAGACGCAACGAAGAAGGCTTCTTCTAGATGCTGACCTGGATGATGATGGTGTGGACCTGGCCCGGCCAGTGGAGCAAGCACCGGCGAGGGCTCATGGGGTGGACCAATCGGAGGCTGTGCTCCCACAGCCGATTGCGAAACAGGGCCCGAAGCCGCGGCGCACTTCCGGCAGGTCAAGGAAGACGGCGGCGTTGATGGAACAGGGGGGGGGGGGGGGGGGGGGGCTCTGGCGACCCCTCCCAAGCAGCGGCTGAGAAATGGGGCGTTGAAGCTGGGTCAAGGCCCCATCCTTAAAGGAGAGAGCTCTCAATCGGCAACGGCTCCCTTGGCGGAGGAGGAAAAGCGGGAGGCGGAGTTACAGGCGGATCGATTGGCAGCAGGCCCACTTCGGCCCA